TCTGGGGAGATTACCCTGAAGAAGAAGGAGCACAGTGTGCACGTTGAGATCGGCAATGAGCTCAGCTTGACGCAGGCCTTCATCCGCCGAGGGCTTGCGCTCGACAGAGTCGGGCTGCTCGATTTCACTATACACGAGAGACTCGTGCGACATTATTTCTCTGTCCTTAACAGGCCCGCGCCCCCAGGGAGGGAGCGGGGGACATGTTGGCACGTCGTCCGCGCTGACAAGGAGCTCTGGACGATCATCTCCCGACAGTGTCGGGATGGATGTAGGCCGGACAAGACCGGCAACAGACCGCTGGACGAACTCGTCAGGGACAACTGGGCAGACCCCATGGTCATGCTCCATCTCCTCCCAGTCCAGCCGGCGGAGCGCGGCCGATCAGGCAAGAGTATCGGCCGTGTCCCGATCGGTAGCACTCCCGATCGTAGCCGCAGCACGGCAAGCAAGGGCAAGAAAGGCAAAGGCAAGGGTAAAGGAAAGCCCACAGGGAAGAAGCACGACAACGCAGAGCGTTCTAAGCCCCCCAGCATGCCTAAAGAGCTGCGCCACCTGAACAGTGTTTCCAGGTCCGGCAGGCGTTTCTGCTACGGCTTCAATCTGCAGTGCGGATGCGACCTGGTTGTCTCCGGATCCCCGCCGCAGTGCGACCGGGGCATGCACCAATGCATGAGCTGCGGCAGCTCAGATCACGGGGCTGCGGACTGCCCAAAAGACGCCGGGAGCGCTTGACTAGGGGACAACAAGCGCGAGCGGCCAGTGGACCCCCCCTCGGCAGTAAGCATCCCCAAGGTTGCGAGGCTCAGCGAGCCGTGCCCACCGCCTTGCGGGGCAGAGGCACCGCCAGTGGCGGGGCCACATCTGCTCCTGGCAGAACAACAGTCTTCGCCAGCAGATGTTGTGTTGCAGCAGCCTGCGTCACCTCCCCCGCAGTGCCGGCGCTTAAGACCCCCACTTTTTGTCGAGGTTTTCTGTGGCCTTGGCAGGCTCAGCAAAGCCGCTGTGGCCAAGGGTTTCACGAACATCGCGGTGGATCACAGGTGCAAGGCCAGAGGCCTGAAAGCCCTCCAGCGGGACCTTTGTACCAAGACTGGTAGAAGTTTGCTGCGAGCAGTGCTTCAGCACGAAGACCTGCGCTGGGTTCACTGGGCGCCACCGTGCGGCACCTTCAGCAGGGCTAGAGAAATCCCCAGGCCAGGTGCCCCTCCGCCTTTGCGCAGTGCGCAACGACCGGCAGGCCTCAAGAACCTCAGCGGGGTCGATGCAATCCGCGTTCGCAGTGCGAACAGTCTTGTGTCATTCATGGCGTCCTGCTGCCGCTCGCTGTCTCAGAGAGACGTTTGCTGGAGCATCGAGAATCCAGCCCGCAGCCTCTTATGGCAGTTGCCGTGCCTCAAGCACCTGGTGCACTCGACCGACAGAGTGGAGTTCGACGCATGCATGTTTGGTAGCATGCGCAAGAAGAGGACGGCAGTGCTGTCCAACAAGTCGTGGTTTCAGGGCCTCGCACAAGACTGCAGTGGCGGTCACCGCCACCTTCCATGGGGAAAAACGTCAGTCGACGGTGTCTCGTTTTGGTCCACAGCGATGGAAAGCGCCTACACCACGCAGCTCAGTAGTGTCTGGGCCAGTTTGGCAGCGGAGCAGTGCTCCGAACAGCTGCTCAGTTCGCCCATGAGCAGGAAGCGTAAGCGCAGGCTGCGTTTTGAGCCAGACTTCAGCGATAAGCTCACGCTCGATGGCGACGCAGCTCGTTGCTTCAAGGGCTGGAAAACCCCGGCTAAGATCCCCCAGTCCTGGACATGCTTCCCCAAAGGCTCTAAGCTGGTCCAGTGGATCGAAGCCACACAGCAAGCCGTGATCAGCATACCACTGCAGCCGTTGCAGTGGGTGCGCAGAGCGTACCTTATTGCTCATCCCAGCCTAGATGCTGAGGAAGTGCCGTTGTGCATAAAGAATGCGGTCTCAGCGGAGGTCCACGAACCGCCAGCAGTGTTGGCGAAGCGACGTACAGTAGCCAGCATGCAGCTTGCCAAGCTGTGCACAGAGTGCACCACATTAGAAGAGACAGCGCGCTCTTCCGTTGACCCTCTGGTCAATACACTTCCCTGATGTAGCAGTTGCTGGCCAGGTTCGCAATGGTTTTCCGCTCGTAGGTTGGCTGGAGCCCAGCGGGCTTTGGCCCTCTCAGATTCTGCCGCCTTCTCTTACCCCTCAAGCCTTGCTTGACAACGCGCTCAGCATTGGCATGTCCGGAGTCCGCAGTGCGCTCCGTGGTAAGGGTGACGACGTCTCTGCCAAAGTTTGGCAGACCACATGCGAGGAGTGCTCGCAAGGCTGGCTTACCATCGAGGACTTTCAGCAGGCCAGCCTGGTCAACACCGTCGTGTCGTCCAGGTTTGGCTTCGTGCAGAAAGGGAAAGTTCGCCCTATAGACAACTTCAAGAGCAGCTTCATAAATGCTTGCTGCGGCACGACTGAAAAAGTCCAGGTCGACAGTGTCGACCAACTACTTGCCGTATGCCTGGAATGGCTGCGCCAGGGCACCCCAGAGTGTCCCGAGCAGCGCATCGTGGGACGCACGTGGGACTTGAAAAGTGCTTACAAACAGCTTGCAGTGCAAGCTGAGCACAAAAAGTTTGCGTGCATAGCCATGCTCGATCCGCAGAGCGGCAAAGTGAAGTTATAGCCCACCTTCACAGCATGCCCTTCGGTGCAGTGGCTGCCGTTCATGCTTTCCTTCGCTGCAGCGAGGCGCTCAAGGCCATCGGCAGGGAGAAGTTCGCATTAGTAATGACGAGCTTCTTTGATGATTTTACCGTCCTTACTCGCAGTGCGAGCGCCAAGCACGTTAGCCTCGTGGTGGCCAACTTGTTCAAGAAGCTCGGTTGGCAAGTTGCCACTGAACCCAAGAAGAATGTTGACTTCAGAGAAGTCTTTGACGTGCTAGGAGTGCGCTTCGACTTGTCGAAGCAACACCTTGGGCTCATCTCCGTGCAGAACAAGCCGACCCGTGCAGCTGAGCTAGGCATGGTCCTCAGTGAGGCCATGTCCCGTGGATCCATGTCTCCACATGAGGCGCAGAGTCTGCGTGGTCGCCTCATCTTTGCAGAGCAGCAGACTTGGGGCCGCAACACACGCATGGCAGTGATATGTGTTGGTGATGTCCCCGGGGAGGGCCCGGATCAGACGGCCTTGTCTGAGCAGCAGCTCCAGGCAATGGAGTTCTTACTGAAGCGTGTAGTGCACGGCCCGCCTAGGACAGTGTCCATCCACGGGCGCCAGCGCTTCCACTTGTATATCGATGGTGCCTGCGAGTGGGAGTCCCCGCGCCTCTTCCCTAAGTGCGGTCTAGGAGCGGTGCTCCTGGGCGAGGGAACCTGCCTGACCTGGGGACAGCAGATAGGGCAGCAGACGGCAACCCAGTGGGTTGCCAGAGCAGACAAGCAACAGCTTGTCTTTGAGTGTGAGCTCCTCCCGTACCTGCTCAGCCTTCAGTTGTGGGCTCACAAGCTGCAGGGCTGTGATCTGTTCGTCTGGATAGACAACGACGCAGCGCGTTCTTCCTTGCACAAGGCCTTCACAAGAAAGGCCGAGGGAGCTTTGATAGTAGCCCAGGCGGTGGACATGGAGGAGACTCTGCAGTGCAGAGCCGCTTTCTTCCGCGTCCCCACCGACAGCAACATCGCTGACGGTCCCAGCAGAGACTGGTGGGAGGAGACCCGCCAATTGGGCGCAGTGCGCGCATTCCTGCCAGCCAACGCAGTGCGCAAGGCCCTTGCTCTCGAAGCGGTCTAAATGGGGGGTGGGATAGGCTCGAGCAGCTTCAAGGG